ATATATATATATCATTATCTTTTCAATAAAAAGTAGCATTATCTTTTTCTTTGCTATGCTATAATTGTCCTATTATAAGTTCCCAAAATCAAGTTTTGGACATTTAAGCTTTTTAAACAAAAGAGAAAACATCAATAACGTGATCAAATCACTTCAAAAAATCAATGTGGTAGTTAAATCAAACTTATTTACCAAGTTATTTTACATAAGTACCTCATCAACTATTCTGTTAGAAAATCTCCAAATTGCCTTTTTTCTGGGTTTGGAATGTAGAATGAGTAAGGGCATTGTGGTAGTTTGACTACTTAAAGTTACTCAGAGCTAAATGAACTAAAACAACTAATGTTGGTCAAATTACCAAAATTCTATTGAAATTTTGAGGTGGTTTGAGCATTTTGATAACAATTTCTCTCGGATAAAAAGAGAAAGGTAGTTTCCTAATATTATGTTATGGCGTCATTATTATGACTGAAACTTGGTGCTGGCCACAAATTCTTGTAAATCCTTTGCTTGGAATCTTGTAACAGTTAAATTAATACTTTTCTCTTTAATCCAGGTTTTTTAGGCAGTACCTAGCATATCTATGCACCCATCAGATGGCTCTTTCTCTTTTCCGGTTCATCGCTGCCGCCGGAAGAACACTGGTCGTTGCCAACACCTTTGGGACGTTTGCTCTCCTCGTCATTTTCGTTCTTGGAGGATTTGTTGTCGCCAAAGGTCAGCAAGCCAATTTCTACAAAACTCTGATTGTTTACAATTTAACCAGAAAACATTAAAGGGAACCGGCCCCAAGTGTGTTTAGGGGCCTAAAAAGAGAAAACAAAACAAAATTTGATTATTATTTTTTTCTTTTCATATTTATCAGAACAAAATTGATTTACAAGTATGAGTTTGTACTCGGAATTTTACAAAGTCAAGCCAGTATCTAAGACTCTAAACTTTCAGCTGAATTAGTGGATTAATTACTAATCATATAGAAAAAAATGCCATAACGGCTTATCATTCCAATATTGGTGTGTGTGTGGGTGTATAACTTTGTAACAATTAATCCTTGTTAATTAATATTGATATTAACTATGTAAGCAAGTTTACTAAATTACATTGTTTTGGCTTCAAATTGCATCATAGATGATATTCGTCCCTGGTGGATATGGGGATATTGGATTTCCCCAATGATGTACGGGCAAAGTGCTGTGTCTATCAATGAATTTCTTGATCCAAGATGGAGCAAGGTAAGTTCTTTCCACCCTCTTAAATTTCTACCTTTTTGTTTTGTTTTTCTTTTTCTTTTTTTTTCCTCGAAAGTTAATGGTTAGTAGTGGATTAACAATTTTTTGAAATTGCTAGTAGTTTTCAATAGGAGTTAGGTAGGAATGGAAACCGAAACCAGTGGGTGAGTCACAGGTGGTGCTACCAGCTTGACCTCGACCTTGACCTCAACCATAAAAAAAAAAAAAAATTATTTGTTTTCAAAAAAGAGTTAGGTAGAAATGGCAACCGAAACCAGTAGGTAAGTCACAGGTGGTGCTACCACCTTGACCTAAACCTCAACCCCAAAAAATAAAAAATAATCTATGTGTTATTTTGGTTATTTTTAGTGCTAATGTTAAAGGGTAGGTTTGGATAAGTCAGGGGATTCAATTGTTATAGTGTGTCCCCCTCCCAAAACCATCTTGGAGATGAATTGGATCAAAATTTTGTATATCATTCCAGACCAGGTTTGTTTCTGGACCATGACATCATGAATCAGCAAAAAAAATCCCTTTTTTTTTTTTTTTACACTTTGCTCCTACAAGAGCATAAAATCTTATCAAATTTGTTTACATGCTTTATGAATATATGTTACAGCCGAATAATGATACAAGTCTTGGTCAACCCACCATTGGGAAAGCCATCCTTAGTTCAAGAGGAACATCTGTGGAGGGCTACATGTATTGGATTTCTATTGCTGCCTTGGTTGGCTTCTCTTTGATCTTCAATGTATGCTTCATCACGGCTTTGGCTTATCTTAATCGTAAGTATGGTCTTTCATTTTATTTTATTGACCATAAAATAATAAACAAAAATAGAAATACTAAAAGCTTTACTCTTACATACGAGTAAGCTGTACTCTTACATATGAGTATTTCTTTAAGACACTCAACCTGTTTGGACATTTGATGCCTTAACCTTGGTAACTTTTTCCTTTATGGGTATTTTAGGTAATTAATTAGGGTAAAGCAGAAATTCTTAATAGACAAATAAGTATTTATTAATTGTAGTGGATGATAACATCATTCACAAGGTATAACATCGCTCATATAAAGCAATGATTGCTTCTTAATTACAGTATAATGCCATTAATTTTTTATAGAAATATCGATCTTACCCCTTCTAATGATGAAAAATACCTTCACTCAAAAAAATATCTATTATCGAGAAAGAGGTAATAAATGTCCAAATAAGTTGGGTACATTAAAAAAATACTCATATATATAAGTATCATAACTTAACCCATTTTGAAATGGTCAAATCACCTAAAAAAAAATCAATGTGGTGGTTAAATCAACAATTTTTCACTTACCTAAAAGGAATCAATAATGTTTTTTTACAAAATGGCTACTTTTTAAAAAAAAAAAAAAAAAAATCATTTAGGTGCCCTTCCAATATCTTGCTAAAAGCAATCCGTGCCCTTGTACTAGAGTCATGACTTTTGAACAAGCAATAATAACATATTGATAATTTGATTGACTTAAGTCAAGCCAAACAATACTTCATATTTTTATTGAAACTTCACGTTTGAGGTTTGGAACCCAAAAAAAAAAAAAAAGCAAATTTTGGTAATATATCACCAAAATATCTAAATACCCTTCCCTGTTTTGGGTTCTGAACCTAAAACATCTAGTGTTGATTTCATAATGTCGAACGAATAAAGGTATTTAAGTTATTTAAATCAGCTGATTTAAGTGGGATCAAATTATCAAAATGCCCTCACTTGTTAAGACTTCAAATCCAAGCAATTTGTGTATGTTCTAATTAAATCGCTAAGGTGGTTTAAAAAAAAAGTAACTACTTTTAAGCAAATTAAGTGATTTGACAGCCTCATTAATTTTTTAAATTGGTTTTTGACCATTTTATTGATATTTACTAAAAAAACAGATTACCCATATACGTGCTGTGCGCTATCCAAATTGTAGATACTGCATTTTATTGATTCAAGTTGTAGAAATTGCATTTTATTGTTGCTGGTTTCAAAAGTATGAACTGAGAAAGATTCTTTTTTTTATGATAAAATACAGCTCTAGGTGGGTCTCAAGCCATTGTACCAGAAGAGAGTGAAGAAGATAACGTGAGCAAGGAGAAGAAATCTCTCTCTAGCAAAAAGAAAAACTTGAAGATGGCGGGCACTGGCGACAGATGGGCACAAAATCCGATGTTCGATGGTGCGAAACAAGCCTTGATTATAGATCCGGTTCTTTTCTGAGTCTATTGGCAGTGCTGGCTTTAGAATCAAAGAATTTAAGATAGAATATACATATTAAAATTTTACTTCTGCGAAACAAGCCTTAAATACTTCTAAAATTTTACTAACTCTCAAGAGCATTGGATCATTGGATCAAAGAATTTAAGATAAAATATACATATTAAAATTTTCAGGATTCCGGTCATTTTTCTTTTCTTTTTTTTGGTAGTTTTTTGTGAAATTTGGCTATTCTTGGAGCAGTTTCTATAAACTGCAAACTTAGAACATTAGTCACTCTCAAACATTACAAGAGTGTAAAGAGGTTAAATGGAGAATTTTGTAAAGTTGAAGATTTGCTTTTACTAGGTTTCTAATGGAATTTAGCAATTATTTTCTTAGGTATTTTTATAAAACTTCTGCCGTTTTCGACCACTTGGAAGAAATTTTATACTAAAGCTTAATTACTTTCAACAATGATAGGCTACAAAAAGTTAAAGCACTATTTGAAGATGCGGTTGTTTTTGTTAGTTCTGTATAAAGGAGTACTGTCACTGAAAATTTTCAAAAACAAGAGTTACCAAAATGCCCTCATCGCGGTCTGGGTCAGATAATCTTTTCACCCGAGCCCTATGGGGGAGACCGTATGAGAAGTTTCATGCTACATTGAGTACATTCAATATGTTGGAAATATTCAGGTAACACAGCATGACATTATGGAATGTACAGGGTCGGCGTCAGCATCATTCGAAATGACGGCAAGAAACGGCGAGGCGCCGAGAAGTGGTGAGGGGAGTACCAGTAGAGAAGTGGGGGTGGTGAAGAGGGGGATGGTGTTGCCTTTCCAGCCTCTCTCCCTCGCCTTCAACCATGTCAATTACTACGTCGATATGCCGGCAGTGAGTAGCCCTCAACCATTTTCCTAAATTTTCAGTCCCGATTTTTTCTGCGACCTGGAACATGTTATTTTTATAGTAATACTCTTTTTTTTTTTCTTATCGATAGTCGAAGGCATTTTGGTCATTTGGTCAAATTAAAGATATTTTGAAATTTTAGAGAGTTTGGTCTGAAAATTTCATGACCATGTGTTCAAGAGAAAACAAAATACTAACCTTAGATATATTACCAATGTAATTTATAACCAATGGATACTGGTGAGCTGCCTGGGATTAATTTTTTAGAGTTTACAATGTCCTCCTACTGGAGCTGCACTAACTCCCACGGGCAAAAGACCTAATCACAAAGATTTATTGGCATAAAATTTTAAGATCCACTTTCTGATAACTAGATGTGTATTTTCGAGAGAAAAAAAAATTGATTGAGTTTCTAAACACTTGGTCTGGAGTCTGGACATGGACAGTCTCCTTTTGATCTTAAATTTTTTGGGCATGCTGGTGAATTTTTATTTTATTTTTGGAGGGTTAATCACTAGGTTGAGGAAATTACATGCCAAAATTTGGGATCCTGAGTAATTTATCTAATTTAAACAAATAACCAAAATTAAAAGAATAATTTCTCTGATCTAAATTGTTTTGATTTCTCAGGAAATGAAGGCACAAGGCATTGAAGAAACCCGGCTCCAATTACTACGGGATGTCAGTGGCGCTTTCCGACCCGGTGTACTCACGGCTTTGGTGGGTGTGAGCGGGGCAGGCAAAACCACTTTGATGGATGTGCTGGCCGGAAGGAAGACAGGTGGATATATTGAGGGAAGCATTAGCATATCCGGCTACCCCAAAAAGCAGGAAACGTTTGCTCGAGTAACTGGATACTGTGAACAAAATGACATTCATTCTCCTAATGTTACAGTTCATGAGTCACTTATCTACTCTGCATGGCTCCGCCTTTCACTTGACGTGAGCCCCGAGACACGAAAGGTACATAAAGATTATTATTATTATTGTTGTTATTATTATTACTATTATTATTGTTATTAGCAGTAGCAGCAATAGTAGTTTTAGTAGCAACACCGCCACCCCCACCACTAACAGTATGACTATTGTTAATTATAATTAATAATATTATTATGGAAAATTTTTCTATGCCAGTGCTTGTGTTTCAAACAGTACAATAGCAGCTCCCCAAGCTTCACATGTCAATGGTTGGGGAGGAATGACCCAACTGCCATCCATTGTGGAAATCGGACTGTTGCGACGGTGTTGCGCACCATGTGAAACCTGAAACTAGCATAATATATGAACACTAATGTTTATTATTATTGTTGCTTTCAATTTGGGGGAGGTTATCTGGAATTCAAACCTTGGATATTGTGTGAAACTTGACTTCAAGTATTCTGGACATGCAGTTAATGTGGTTAATCTACACTAGACTTGTAGACACTGAGAAATCACTTAACCTGTTCTTCAAAATTTGGCTCTCCAGATGTTTGTGGAAGAAGTGATGGAGTTGGTGGAGCTAACACCCATTAGGGGGGCTCTGGTGGGCCTTCCTGGTGTGGATGGTCTCTCAACTGAGCAAAGGAAGCGCTTGACCATAGCTGTGGAGCTGGTGGCTAACCCTTCCATCATCTTCATGGATGAGCCCACCTCTGGGCTCGATGCTAGGGCTGCGGCCATCGTCATGAGGACAGTGCGAAACACAGTGGATACCGGGAGAACCGTTGTTTGCACCATCCACCAACCGAGCATTGACATCTTTGAAGCATTTGATGAGGTGAGCTAAAATTGCTTCTACACATTGACTCGTACTCTTTTCGATTTTAATTTGTCCCTTTATGCTTGTGGCCCCCCTGTTATGACGTTTTTACACTTGCATGTATAAATTCAGTGAATTTGTATGTCAGAATATGGGGATTGTATATAATGAGACCGATGCTTTTTATACAAAAAGATCACAAATACCCCAAGCCATCTGTTATCAAATGGGGCAGCTAGTGTGTCATTTACCTGCACAAAGTCCAAGGAAAGATAATCTCAAACAACAAGCGAGGCCAATGTTGCACCCTCAAACTGCCTAATTTCACATCTGATTGTGACTTTTTTATATCAAAAGTATACAGTCTAGTTATAATCATTCTGTTTGATTTACTGTACGTGGTGAAGTTCTTTCATATATTCAATAGTTTCAAACACTTTTATCTCATAAATGCGACAAATTCTTTTACTACGCAATTTCAGTCTACCATCACCTAAAGTCCACATCATATTGAAAGTTTATTCTTAATGTTTGTTTACAGTTTGTTGAAAGTTTGCAAGCTGTGCAGTAAACAC